GCTCGAGTCCGGGAGGCTTGAAATCGGGGCATCTATCGATTGACAGTTTTTTTTTTCTTTCTGCATGGACCGCGACGGACGAGCCCGGCCAGCCTCCCCCGCAATATCGTTCACTAGCAATACACGCCTTCTCAGTCTTGGAAGCTGGTTGGGAATGCACATGTCTCACACACTAACCCGCCTCTCCCAGAAATATTCCCGAAGCTGGTTCACCTGAACACTTGCCCGAGTGAGACAGGAGCTTCCTTCAATGCGGTCACCCGTCACACGCCGTTTCTCTCCTGCCTCTTCCTCCCTTTTCCCGCTACGCGAGCTGCCCCAAGCTCCTAGAGTGCCACGGCGGGAAGGGAGGAAGAGGCGGGAGAGAGCCGTCATGATGTCAGCCACCGTCATTCAGCCCTAAACCGAGTGCGTAACGGGGCTGTCATTTGGATTCCTGCGCCCCCTCCCCGATCGATCTTACGACTCAGGTGAGCCAGGACGAAGTGGATATTCCGGAGAGGAGCTCTTTTCCAAAAGATCCACGCCAAGGGAAGAAGAAAGCAGAAACCCGAACGTCGGGCGAGAGGGTGACAGAACGGGTGCTGGATGTTGGCCCGCCCTCGGTGCGAGTTTACAGGATCGACTTAGCTCGCGCAGGGTAGCTGATGTGCCTGACCCAGCTCGGCTTGCAGATCTGACGGCTCTCCCGTCGATAGAGCGCTCCCGCCAAGTGGATATGCAGCAGCTTCTCGACGCGTCCAAGGCCAAGTCGACGGCGTCATCGGTCTGCCTCGACATGACCATCAGTCTCTGTCGGTTTCTATTGTCTAGCAAAGTCAATCAGCTCGAACCATTTGACAGCATCGATGGATCTCGCAGTTATTGGCTATTGGATGCGTATCACAATATGCAGCTCGACGCAAGCGCCGTCCGTTCGTTCTCTGTGGGAATCAGGAATTTCGTCTTAGTGGACGTTTTCCCTTCGACTAGTTAGACACCGTCTCGACAAAGCTCAGCGGTAAGATCGGTCTCTTTGGCGCGCCTCGCAGCAGCCACCGAAGCTGCAGGACCGCAAGCTTCCCGTGTTTCCCGTGTTCAGCACTCGGCCGGGGTTTACCCTTCTCCCTTGACCGAGGCTTGACTTCACACCTTACCACGACTTCATGTCATTCGTAGATGAGAGACATTAACCGTGCAGCCTCACCAACACGTAGTGTGTCTTTCAAGCCCTGTCTTGACCATTGCTTTTTCCGCGACAACAATCAAGTTTCTAGAAATCCATCTTTGAAGAAAAACACAGACAGTACTGAGTCTTCCCGCCGCTCCGGCAAACCGACGTCATGGCTCAGCAGTGTTCGAAGAGACATGCCGCCGGCAGCCATGCCGGATACCTACCTATCGAGGACTATGGAATGATCGGCAACATGCACACATGCGCACTTGTTGGCATGAATGGTTCGGTTGATTACATGTGTTGGTGAGAACGCATTTCTCTTTGGACTCCTGATGCTTGGCGTTCACTTACACGAATTGATTAAATCGCTTGCTACGCTCAACATCACTTGGTGGCGCCAAAATGGTTCATCGAAACGCCTGATTGGCCAACACACATGGAAACTCAAGTGAGCAAACATAGTCAACGTGCTCTTTTCCGGGAACTTCGAGTCTTGCTCTTCGTGATACGTCCCATTGGCTCTAAATCGAGAAGCCTGACTTATGCTTTAGGCCGGACTTTGACTCCCCTACCGTCTTCTGTCGTCTCCTCGACAAGGACAAAGGAGGCTTCTTCAGTATCTACCCTCCCGCATCCAAGCATTGCACGACAAAGTAAGATAGACGCCCGTCTCGGGGGCACACCACAAGATGTGACGCTAACCACACTCAAAGACAGCAGTATCTCCCATCCTCCAACATCCTGCAGACGAGGTACATCCACGATGACGGCGTCGTCGACCTCGTAGACTTCTTCCCCCGCCCAAAGACGGCCACCGTCCTGGCCAAGAGCAACCGGCAGAGCGCCTTTCGCGAGACTACCAAGATCCAGGAGGAGCTCAAGAAATGGCTCGTCCGCCGCGTCGAGTGCATCCGCGGCCGTCTGGAGATGGGTTCGTGTTCACATCCACATCCCTCACAGACTCATTTGGACTCACAAACATTACAGATATTGAGCTCTTCCCCGCCTTCCAATACGCCACTGAGCCCCACGTCACCACAATCGTACAACAGACTCACACGCACGGCAACCCCAGCAAGGCCGTGACCTTTCACAGCGAGCACTACAAGCTCCAGCTCGACGTCACGGTTGACGCCGAGTCCGACGACGCCGCCGCACCGTCCGTCACCTTCGCCAAGGAAAAGCGCGACGGCATGCTCGGCGAGGGCGTGGTCGCGCACATCACGATCGAGGAGGGCCAGGCTATCTCGCTCGTGCTGCGCAACGACATCCCGGACCACGTCACGGAGGACATCACCACGGCGGTGCTCGACGGCCAGCAGCACGACACGCAGTCGTTCTGGTACAACTGGATCTCCAAGAGCAGGTACAAGGGCCGCTGGAGGGAGGTGGTCAACCGGAGCCTGATGCTGCTCAAGATGATGACCTACGAGCCGACGGGGGCCGTCATCGCCGCTCCGACATTTTCGATCCCCGAAGACATTGGAGGTGTCCGGTAAGTGTTGTGGTATTTCATCACGGGGTAAACCTTCACTAAGCCAGCGAACACGCAGCAACTGGGACTACCGCTTCTGCTGGGTCCGCGACTCCAGCTTCACAATCTACATCCTCCTCCGCCTGGGCTTCTCGGCCGAGGCGGACGCGTACATGGACTTCATCAGCGAGCGCTTCATCAAGTCGCGCGGCCCGGGCGGCGAGCTGCCCATTATGTTCACCATCCGCGGCGAGACCGAGATCCCGGAGGTCGAGCTCTCCCACCTCGAGGGGTACAGGGGCAGCAGGCCCGTCCGCATCGGCAACGGCGCCGCGTTCCACCAGCAGTTCGACATCTACGGCGAGCTCATGGACGCCATATACCTGTACAACAAGTACGGGAAGCCAATCAGCTGGGATCAGTGGTGCTCCGTGAGGGAGATGTTGGGTGAGGCCCTCCTGAAATAGGATAGACGACAGCGAGCTAACACGCTGCAGACTTTGTTCTCACAATCACAGACAGTAAGAACCTCACCACCTCATAACTCTTCTTAACCCTTCTTCTTACGCGATCCCAGAACCCGACATGTCCATCTGGGAAGTCCGCAACAACAAGCAAAACTTCACCTACTCCAAGGTGATGCTCTGGGTCGCCTTCGACCGCGGCCTCCGCCTCGCGGACAAACGCAACTTCCCCTGCCCCAACCGCAGCAAGTGGCTCGAGGCCCGGGACAACCTCATGGAGGAGATCATGGACAAAGGCATGTCGGCCCTTCGCTGACACATGTTTCCCCCATCTCAGCATCAATCTCACTAACACGACGATCCCAGGCTACAACAAGGAGATGAAATCCTTCGTCCAAAGCTACGAGAACAACACAATGATCGACTCCTCCATCCTCATCGCCCCGCTGGTCTTCTTCATCGCCCCCAACGACCCGCGCTTCCTCAACACAATGGACCGCATCCTCCTGCCCCCGGAGAAGGGCGGCCTGACCAGCACAGGCCTCGTCTACCGCTACGACACGGAGCTCTCGGAAGACGGCGTCGGCGGGCGCGAGGGCGCCTTCAGCATGTGCACCTTCTGGCTCGTCGAGGCCATGACTCGCGCCTCCGTCTACGAGCCAAAGTACCTCGTCCGCGCCGTCAACCTCTTCGAGAACATGCTCAGCTTCTCCAACCACCTGAGCATGTTCTCCGAGGAGATCGCCCGCAGCGGCGAGCAGCTCGGCAACACGCCCCAGGCCTTCAGTCACCTGGCCCTCATCAGCGCCGCCTTCAACCTCGACCGTGTCACCGAGTTTATGCGTTAAAAGGACGGAGCTGTCACCCGTAGCAGGAGAAGATTGATTAGTAATACAATAGATATAGATTGACATTGTTCATGTTCAAATGCAGCTTCGTGAAATGTTGATGGATTAGCATAGCTGGACACCTGTGCGAGTTCCAGCTAGGCCGGGAATAAATGTATGATACCGCCCCCCTGAGCCGCCAATGTCTCTCTCATGCCATCTGCCCTAAAGACAATGCTTTTGTAGTGTAAACGTCTCCCCTCCTGTCCAAAAAAATCACGACCCCCCGGTAAAACGCCGCGCTATGCCCTTTGGTAATCACTTCGTCACCTTCTTCCTCAACCTGACACCTCCTCGTTGCCGTCGAGCGCCACGTGCCTTCGATCTAGTAATTCGCGTGTCCGTCTCCTATGACAAATCCATGCTGTCCCGATCGTCGCCCAGCCTGTCGCCCACAGAACTCAGCCCGGAGCTCGGCGGCCTCGACTCCTCCTTGATGTTCGGTGATGTCGCCGACAGAGCGCTCGCCGGCGAGGGTCCGCGCATCTTGGCCCGCCACGTGTGGATGCTGGGTAGGTCGCCGCCCTCGACTTGCACCTCGCCCACGTCGTTGCCCTTACCGATGATCGTGCCGTGGTACTTTGAGTCTTCGCCGGTCTTGCTGTGCTTCTTCTTCAGGACTGTGCGTCATTTAGTCTCCTCATCTTCAGTCAAACAGACCGGGGGGTTCACAAACCATTCAGGTAATCCCCGAGCTCAAGCTCCCCATCGCCCACCGCCGCCTCGCGGATAGCCTTGTTCCTCGGTCCAGAAAACCACCTGATAAACTCCTCCACGCCGCGAATATCCTCCACCACCACCTCCCTCTCGCGCTCCCTCTCCACGACCGTCCCCGCATTCGCCATCGCGACGTCGTCGCCGTTCTCTGCAGGCGCACCCGCGACGCCGTTCGCCTCCATGACGTCGTCGAGGATCTCTCCCAGTATCGCGCCCCGTCCCTCGGCGCTCACATCGTCCGGTGGCACGGCGCCCAGCTCCTGCAGCGCCATGCGCACGTCCACGATCCCCGGCGCATCGCCTTCCTGGTTGTTATCTGACGCGTGCCGCGCTGTCGCCTGGCACAGGGCCAGCATGTACCGCGCTGCCAGCTCCGTCACGGCGTCGAGGACGACCGGACGCGCCGCGTGGTAGCCTGTCGCGCGGAGGATCTGGAGAACCGCGGGGCGGAGGAGGGCGTGGAAGAGTAATGGTGGGGGCGTCATTTTGGGTATGTGTATGTGTATTTGATTGTGTTATGTTCGATGAACACCGGTTTTGCGTGTGGAAATAGGTTATTGCCGGTCGGTTTCCGCGTAGTCGAGAAGAATGAGCGTGGTTCAAGAGGAAATCGCGGGTGCTGTGGCAGGGCAAGAAGGTGCGATTCCGTCCGTCACCATCGATTCTGGAGCTGTGTTGGAGAGCTTCGCATGATGCTTTGGTACGTGTTTTCGGGTCGCCGCAGTGTTTCAACGGATTCGCCGTCGCGTTCGATCCGTCGTCTCGCGATAGTCGTCAGTAATCGATGTTTGTTTGGTCTGGCCTTCGAGACCAAGCAGGTGCGCACTTCGAAATTTCAGCCTCGTTGGAAGGAGCTCGGACCAGAAAATGCAGGAGCTCTTGGGCTGTAGTCATTTTGGCAGGAACGTTCGCTGGGCTTTACAGTGTGAACACTGTGTTTGTACATGTAGTCAGTCACTGGGACTTGTTTGCGCAGTGCAGAATCTCTCCTTCATTTTCATATCTGACTCTTGGAGTTTTCCCTACTTACTGTCCACTCCATCTCTGCATGAATCATACCAGGGCTATCCAAGATTTTTTCAACCGAAACCTGCCTGACTGCTAACCTCAAGTTCAATTTTGTATTGCCCAACCTCACCCCTTGCGGCTCCTTACTTCTGCCTCACGGACAGATCCTCCGCCTTATCGATGCCAGTGTACTTGTTGATCCAGCCAAGTACTTCTCTATGCCATACCAAGGAGTTCTCTGGCTTCAAGACCCACTGTTCTGAAGTTAGCCATCGTACGAGCTCGGACTCAGCATTGACACTTACATGGTTCTCATCAGGGAACATCACCAACTTGCTGGGTACTTTGCGTGCCTGCAGCACATTGAACATCGCCAGACCCTCTGAAATCGGTAGTCTGTAGTCTAATTCGTTGTGAATGACCAACATAGGGGTGGCCCACTGGTCGAGGTGGTGAGCAGGATCCCACTTCTCGTAGCCCGTGCGGTTCTCCCAGAGAGTACCTCCAAAGTCGTGGAGGGGGAAGAACAACTCCTCGGTAGACCACTGGTTGAGTGTTGAGAACACACCGTCGTGGCACACCAGCGCCTTGAACTTTCTTCCAAGCTCGTGGCCCTGGATCCAGTCTGAAAGAAAGTCAGCGCAACTATGCCACACCAAAGCCTGCCGCCGACTTACTGATCATGTAGCCTCCATAAGAAGCACCCAAAGCAACCGCATTCTTCGAGTCAATGTATGAGATGTTCTTCTCAATATGGTCAAAGCACTTGACCAAGTCAACGTACGGCCGGCCACCCCACTCGTTTTGGATGTTGTCGGTGTGCTGTTGTCCATAGCCAGTGCTTCCTGTCGGGTTTGGCATCACCGCAATGTATCCCTGCTCAGCAAAGATGGCCGGGTTCCAGCGAGTGCTCCAACTGTCCATCCACGCAGCTTGAGGCCCTCCGTGGATCAAGAAGGCGAGCGGGTACTTCTTGTTGGGGTCAAAGTTAGATGGCTTCACCACGAGCGCGTGAACGTCGTAGCCCTCGGCTCCCTTGTACCAGAACTCATCGCACTGAGACTTGGATAGACCGAGAGACTTGCCGTGCTTTGAGCTTGACGAAACGAGATCTGACTTCTTGCTGACAGGGTCCAGAATCGAGTAAGCCGAGTTCTCAACTCTAGACGACGTGCTGATAAACAGACTGTTGCCGTCATCTCCTAGCAACTTCGCCTCTAGAACTGAGCCGTCCTCGTAGATTGCGGCGGGGAGGTCCTTGGCTTGGTGTGGTGTGGCAGGCAGCTTCCATAGCTTCGCGCGACCGTGTTCTTCAGCGGAGACAAAAAGCTCCGAGTCGTCTTTGCTCCAGGTGACCCATTCCGGCCGAGCGTCCCATCCGCCAACGCCATCCTCTGTCTCGTAGAACTCCTGCACGCTCGACAAGTCGAAGATGTCCGGAATCAGCAAGAGTCTCGGCTTGTCCGTCTCGTACTGGTCGCTCTTCATCCTGGTGAATGCAACCTTCTTGCCGTCCCTTGAAAACACCGGCGAGGCGGAGTAGCCACGAAGCTTGCTCGTCTTGACCACCTGAGGCGCAGGCGGCTTAGTCTCCGTAAACGACTTCAAAGGAATAAAGTAGAGGTCGGTCTTCGTGTAAATTGCTGGGGAGATCTCGGGGTCGCGCGCAACAAACACGAGTCCGTTCTTGCTGATGTCAAAGTCTCCCGCCCCACCAAATGGAGGGACAGGGGACTGCAACTTTGTGCCATCGAGGGCGTTCACCAAGCCGGGATCTTCCAACTTGTACGACTGATCTTCCTTTTTCAACAGTCCGTACCAGAGAGAGTTGTGGTTCTCGTTGCCCCATGTATCCCAGTGTCTAACAAACAGACTCGAGTATATCTTGCCTGACGACAACTGCTTCTTCTCGGCCGCCGGGTTGTACATGGCCCCAGACGGGGTGGTCAAGACGCACAGAGCAATCGCGACCTCGTTGTCCGAGAGTCGCTTGACTTTCAGGCTCGATAGACTTCCTTCAAAGTTACGGATCTCCTTGACTCTGCCACCTCATTGTTAGTCGTGCTCTGAAGGTTTTCGCCAAGCGAAGCACCTACACGGACGGTTCGGTGATGTTACCCAGTACAAGGCTGGTGGTGCCCTTCTCGCCGCTGCGAAGGAGCGCAATCTCCTGGTCTGAAATCCATGTCGCATCGTTATAGGACTGATCCTCGTAGAGGAGCGTGGAGTGGCCGCTCTCGACGTCGAGAACGCGAGTCTGGGCGGTCTTGTTGTGGGATTCAAATGAATACGCCGAAACCTGACCAAATCAATTAATGCATGCTCAAAGTCACGTCGCCGCATTCAAAGGCCACGCTTAATTGGGGCGGCGCCTAGATAGAGCATTGTCATAGACTTACAGTGTACAGCACTTTGGAGCCCGATGGGTTGGGAACACCGGGAGACCTGCGCGGGGCCGAGAGGAGGACCTCGGGTGTAAACTTGGAAGCTTGTATCGTCATCATGAGGAGCTGCAGAGGGACCTGATACTTCATTAATCACGAGGTTCACTGGAAAGGAGGACTACCAACAACGGACGTCAACGTGGGAGCTGAGCTGTAGATGTATGACGAGCGATTCTGTTCCTCTGTTGCAGACGCACCTCAACGACGGGGGTCGACCTGCTGGCATGGAGCTTGGTCGAGGAGCCCCGCACTAGCTACAAACCGGGCTAGCAACGGCTGTTAGAGAGCCGACAAGGTTCTCGGGGCCCTGCTCAAGCGCTGCACAGGCTCAGGTGCACCCCTCAAACCCCTCACTGCAGACCGTCCCATCGGCTCCGAAACCACTTGGCGCTATAGAGCTGGGGAGCATCACGCGAAGCAGACGGCTGAAAGCTTCAGTCGGAGGCAGGATGATGCATGATGCGAGTAACCTGGGTTGATGATTGAGTGAACAATGTCTTGGCCTTCGCAATTTGTCAAACATTTCAGGACGGAACGAAGGCCTGGCCGTGGCAATTGCGAAGGTTGAATGAAGATAGTATCTTGATTGACCGTGTCCGTAGAGGTGTCAAAAGGTAAACAATTTCATCCAGACGAAATGCCTGGTCTTGGCCAATAGTCTCGCACCGTAAGCCGAGAAAGGCAGTTGCATACATTCTCTTTACTGCTCGAAGGCAGACCTCACCATCAAGCGGAGTCATGTCCGGCCTCGCAGTTCCATCGAAGTGGCCTGACAGGCCCAGAGACTCAAAAGTTCGTCTCCACCAGGAACTTTTGCCGCTTTCTCGGTGCAGAAGTGCCAGCCAACGGCGCTAAACACCGGCCAAGTGGACTATTCAGGCAGCGTTTCGCGACGGCGATTGTGTCTCTTGCCTAGACCAGCTTGTCTTTCTGAAGGTCAACTCTCCTGGACATTCTCCAACACTGAGAGCGAGGCCAAGAGTTCAAAGTAGAGTTATCGTTGTCCAAAGCTTACCAAGAACCTTTGTTTTCCAGGCAGTCGTCGAAGAGACCATTGCTGTAAATATGGACCTTGAGACGGGTGAACGGGACGCATCGACGCAGGCAGGGGCAGTTTTCAATGAACTGAAGCTCTATGCCCTGGGCCAATTGGGTGCAGACACAGCCTTTCAACTCAAACAGTAATATTTCAAATGGTTTAAGGGTATCATAATCCTGAACTCCAAAGTTGTCGTGGGTCGCGTTGTGATCCATCATCTCGGATCCCTGATTTCTTGCAGGTGCGGCCAACTCATGACAGTCGACAATTGCCATCAACATGGCTTCTGGGCAAGCTGCAGATGCCACCAAAATCCCTGCCGCGATGGCGAATCGGTGCCCTTTCAGCGTGAAAAGCATCATCGAGCCCTGCTGTCGTCCTTACTTCCGTCCAGCGCCAAAGTTGATGCGTTTCTTGTTCGGGGCTTGCGAGTCGTGGTCACTGTCCTCCTCGTTCGCCTTCTTGTTCTTCTTGCCTGACTTGGAAGCGGTGGCAGACGTGGGCGTAGCGTGATTTGAGCCGGAGCCGTCCTTGAACGAGGTGGACAACGGTGTCGGCGCATGAGAGGCAGGCGTAGAGCCGGGTGTGGTAGCCTCCTGAAAACCCGTTAATGACTTGTCTCACACCCACATTCATTGTTGAAGGGTGACATACACTGCCAGGACGGTACGAGATCGAAGACCGTGAAAACACGCGATTCTGTTCCGTAGCACCCGCCTTCCTCCTCTGCGCGGCCGCGCCTGTGCCCTTGATGTAGTTGTCGAATCCCGCAATGATATTGCCGTTTGGCGTGCTGTCAAGATAGGCCGTTTCCTTGGATTCGATCTCCGACTCGATGTTAGCGAGCCGCCTCGCAATCGCTGCTCTCTTGTCCAACATTTGCCGCAGGCGGGCTTGCTCCTCCCGGTACAGCTGCATTGTCGGCGCAGGCTGCTGCGCGGCAGCGGCTCCGTTCGGCTGATTCTCCCCCATGGCGTCGGGTGCGTTTTCGGTTAGCGATGAATTTGATTCGGTATTGGAGATGGTATCGATGCTGCGCAATTGATGAGAGCTGGATGCTGATGTGGTGGTCGCGATTTGGAGGTTGCTGCACTTGTCGCGTCGGGTGAGTCTAGCGGCGCAGGAACCGATCCTGGGGCCGTTAGTGCGGGCCGCAGCTCATTGGTCGATCCAGGCTGCAGCAGACCAACGCCTCAGTCGAGCAAGCGCCCCGGCTTATGTAATTTGTGGTGGTGGCTTTGCAGGCAGGGAAGGGGCTTTGAGCATCTTCCAGCAGGGGGGCAGTTCATCGGACTTTGGCAATCCTTCGACAAGCCAGCCAGCCGTTGCTGGGTCTCACTCAGCAGCCATCGTCTTCAAGGAATCGTCTTCAAATCAGCCTTTTTGTCTCGCAATCATGATCCTTATTATCTCCACTGCGTCTTTGTCATGCCCCTCCAAAATTAACCCAATCCCAGGCGATGCAACCCGAATTAAGGTCCAGAAGGAATAGCAGACAGGGCAGGTTGCAGCGCCCCTCCCAGGCCTATCGTCTCCGAAGGCCCCCAGTCCTAGGGCTGCCCGTCCTGGTGGTGGTGGTTCAAGGTTGTGCTTGGCCACCAACTCGCATGAACCAAGACGGATCATCATCTGCGAGCTCTGTCTATCTGCAACATCACACGAGCCCGCCCAAGCCACGGGCCTTTTTGGCCAGGTTATGCCCCTGGCTCAACTCGGACGGCGCGGGTAAGGTGGAAAGACTCGGGGGAGAGACAGGATGACAGCCCATCAACCTTTTTTGCTCTCACTGGCTTGCTTCCTTTCCCTTGCTAATGAGGAAAACCGGCCGGATGTTTCAACATGGCGAGACCATCACGGCAACCTGCTTTTCGCCCCGTCTAATCCCACGAATGCCCACGCGACGTCCACACGCACTACCATGTAGTCAAACGCAGGAGGCCAAACGACGGAGACAGACGTTCCCCTTTTTTGCAGAGACGTTGCCTCCCAGCCAGGCTTTGGCATTCATCTGCTCCCTCCCGGCACCAACGGCACTCGCCTGCCCCTCTAAACTACCGCAGCCACCCTCCGCGAGCCGGGGGTCGTAAAGGAGCCTCCGCACCGTCAGCCGCAACGCTCAGCCAATCGATGGCATGCAGCTGCATCTTTTTTGACAGAGCCCGGGAGACGCGCTCCCAACGCAGCGCAAGTGCTTGGCCCCTGTTTCGTTTCACCACGGCCACTCGCCCAGGCCTCGCCGACGATCTGTGGTCCAAAGTTGAGTTTCTTTCCCCCCCTTTCTGCTGGTTGCCCACTGGCCAGGGTCTAGCTTCAAGCATTTCTCCAAAAAGGAAACCATCCCAAGGGAGTTCCGTCGTGCAAGGTCACTCCATGGTGGGGAAATCAGGGTGCAATTCCACTGGCTTAAGCGCGCGGAGAGAGCGGATGGGTGACGGAGCAGGAGGGAGAGGAGGATTTCAAGACGACGGGAGGAGCGATCAAGGGCACTGACTGGCATCCCGCATGACCAGCCTTACTACCGCTCATTTACGAACAGTCCTAGCCAAAGGGAAACCCCCGAACTTACCCCTACCGATACTCAGATGCTGCTGTGCTCAGGGGTGCGGCTGTTGCTGCTGCCCAGTGTCCGTACTAAAAAGGCTTGTCGTTCTTATACTGGGGTAATAACGACGTGAAAAAAAAGACACAAACACCCTCCTCTTCGCACTCGCACCCTCCCTGCGGAACTGCGCTTTCCTCTCCTTCGCCTTGCTTCGCCTTTTTCCTGGTCTGACTGTGTCACTCACTTGAGCCACCGCCGTTCGTTCTCTGTTTGTTTCCTCCTCCGGGACAATAGCCTTTTTGTCCTTCGTTGTCCTGTCTTCAACATTGTACAAAAACCACAACGCCACCCGTCCGTTCTCTCACGACAACCACCTATCACGAACCCTACGTCACACCTGAATCGCCTGGCAACACCTGAACAACTGATAAGAAACAAATACCCTGCTCATCCTAAACCTTCTACCTCATCCGAGTTCACCAACCTTTAAAAACCAAAACCTTCAAAATGGTCTTCGCAAAGTTCCTCCCGCTCACCCTCCTCGCCGGCCTGGCCCTCGCCTCGCCCGTCGCCGTCCGCAACAACAACGCCACAGCCATCCTCCTCGCCGTCGCGCCCACCTCCTCCACCTGCGACGGCGCCGCCTTCCCGGACGAGTGCGCCACCGCCGAGCACGCCGCGCAGTTCGTCCCCGCCGCCATGCAGAAGTACGCCGTCTACCGCCCCGGCGAGATCGCCGCCCTGCTCTCCCTCATGGCCTTCGAGACGGGCGACTTCAAGTACAACCGCAACCACTACCCCGCCCCCGGCCGCCCCGGCCAGGGCACCCGCAACCTGCAGATGCCAAAGTACAACCTGCTGTACGCGCTCTCCATCCCCGAGCTCAAGGACAAGGCCACCGCCATCGCCGGCTCCGCGGACGCGGACGGCAGCACGCTGTCGGACGACAAGAAGAACGAGGTGCTCGCGCTCGTGATGCCCGACGAGTACGCCTGGGGCTCCGCGGCGTGGTACCTGACGACGTACTGCGACCAGAGCACGCGCGACGAGCTCGCCGAGGGGACTGTTCGCGGGTTCACGCTGTACATGGAGTGCATCGGCACCTCGGGCACGGAGGACCGCGTCGCGTACTGGACGCGGGCCAAGGCTGCGTTTGGCCTGGCGTAGAAGGGCAGGTTCCCTTTATTTGGTATCGTCTTCAAAGATTCTTGTACATAGCATTTTTAGTTCGCATAATCGGGATGGGGGGGCTCACGAGGAATATGACATTTTTCACAATTGTTCAATCAAAACAGAGACACTACACACTAAAACCCATTGGCCTACATCAGAGTGCCAAAGTGGTTGAGATATTATGCGTAATTGCAGCGTATGTTTGGTAAAAGTAAAAGGACTAACACAGAATATGCGCACTCGAGGTGAGGCTTCGAAGGGGTGGGTGGGTATAAGTGATGCCGCGGTGCCGTCACAGTGTGTAAGTCGTCACATCCGGGGAGCATCTTCGCCCCACCTCGAGTACCCAGTAAGAGAATCGAAAGAGCTACCGAATCCGCGGGCTGATACCCTTTTTCCTCCCATATGTACACGGCGGGTTGCTGGGGTGAGTACCGATGCCGAAAATTCACGTACGAAAAAAAAGAGGACTCAATACTAGGATAGACGAGGAAATGTTTGTTTTGTTCGATGTTGAGGACCTTTTTTGTTTGTTCACACGTTTGTTGTTTGGTTATTTGCTACTGCTTGTTTGTTCACGGTGGTCTTCGATGGATCGATGGATCGATGGATCTAATCGTGGGGCCGATGGATGTTCGTTACAGTGTTGTTGGCACTGTGTTCGCACAGTAAAAGGAATGTCGTCGACTTATCGCCGTTCGTCGGAGTTGTTGTCACGGTGCGTGGGTGGGGTCGCCTCAGCAGGATGAAGTCATGTTATTAAAACGTCCTATGTAATCTAAGTTATAATCAGTCCTCTCAAAAGCGATCGTGGCCGTCGCGGACGGGGATTCACTGCTGGTGCTGCGACGGGCACGCGAAGGAGGAGGAGGAGGAGGAGGTGGCTTGCCTATGCCGCCAGGACAGATACCCGTCCCCATGACCCGCTCGGCCGGGACGAACACGAGCGGCTCTCCGGTGCCGCTGTGTGCCTGGAGCACGCCGCTCGAGTCTGTCACGAACGGCTTGCACTTTGTGATCTCCATGATGAGCTTGCACGGGCGAAATCCCGTCTCTGCCTGTCCCAGGGCTACGCCGAAGGTGCTGTTGCCGCCGACGTTGGCGTACACGCTGACGACCTGGGCGTCGTCGAAGCCCTTGCGCATGGCGATGATGTGGCTGTCCGTGTAGATGGGCAGCGCCTTGTAGAAGAGGTAGCCGCCGTCCTGGGCCGACATGGTCGAGCGCAGGCCGATGAGCTTCTTGATCCACTGGTACTGCTCCGTCTGGGTGGTGTAGCCCGACAGCCAGAGCGCCTCGCGGTTGTAGGGTGTCTCGCCGCCCTTGTAGCCCTGCTCCAGGCCCTGGTAGATGACGGGGATGCCGTCCATGAGGAGCGTGAAGGTGAGGGCGTTCTTGAGCAGGGCCAGGTCGGCGGTCGAGTGGAGGAAGCGCGCCTGGTCGTGGTTCTCGAGGAAGCTGCCGTAGAGCGTGAGGTCGCGCGCCGTGGAGCCGAGCGTCTTGATACCGTCGCGCAGGTTCCAGATGCTGCCCGTCGTCGACTGGAAGGCCTGCGTGATCCAGTAGTAGGCGGGGTAGTTCATCACCCCGCCCATGTAGTCCTGGTACGGCGCGACGTACTTGGGGTCGCCGTGAAACACCTCGCCGATCGAGAACACGCCGGCGGCGGTCTCGAAGCCAGACCAGAACGACTTCTCGACGTGCTTGGCGCTGTCCAGGCGGAGACCGTCAAAGCCGTACTGGCTGACCATGCGCTTGATCCAGTTGTTGAAGACCTGGCGGACGATGCCATCCTCGGTGCGAAGGTCGGGCAAGGGGACGGCATCGCTTCCCTGCCAGCACCTCTCGACAGAGGTCTGGTTGTCGTAGTTGATCCAGCAGGGGGGCGTATGGTAGGCGGAGGCGTTGTTGAAGGGACTGAACGTGGAGTAGTCGACGCTGTTCATCTTACCAATCCAGGCCATGTGGTTGGTGACGACGTCGGCCATGAGGTACATGCCACGAGCGTGGACCGCATCAGACAGGGCTCTCAGGTCCTCAGGGGTACCAAAGGAAGGATTGACATTCCAGATATCCTTGGTCCAGTATCCATGATACGACTCGCTGTATGACGTGTTAACCAAGTTCTTATTGCAGCCGTCCTCTGCAACCAATCTCATGCATGACTTCTCATACGGAGAATCATTTTCTCACAATGCGATTCAGGTTTCAAGAACTGGGAAAAAACAAAACTCACCCGTCAGCGGATTTGCCATCAATGTTCTTGACAAAAGGCGAAATCCACACTGCCGTCGCACCGAGCTCCTGGATGTAGTCGAGCTGCTGAATGATACCCTGCCACGTGCCGCCGCAGTACGTCTGCTCCGAGTCGACACACGGGTGCGTCGTCGAGCCGTCGGTCCGCGCAAACCGGTCCGTAACCACCTGGTATATCGTCTGAGTCCGCCATTCCGCGGCGCTCAGGGCCGATGCGCCGGTAGCCACGGCGGCCGCCAAGGCCGGTGCCGAGAGGAGCCTCATTGCCGTTGCTGAGGTTGCCGAGTTGCCTCGCTTAGAGAGTGACTGATATTCAAAAAGAAGGTAGAAAAAAAGAGTGACTTCAAACTTCAAAAAAGAAACAAAAAACCAAACAACAAGAAAAGAGTGTGTGCAGAAACGTCGTCTCGTGAAAGGGGATCGTGGGAATCGTGACGTCGTACAGAGCTTGGCTTATATATCCCCTTCTCCCTCGCTCATAGCGGGAACAGCAACGACGTGAGAGTCAGATAGAGTTTCCGTGTGGATAGCTCTTTGGACACTTTGAATGCAGATTAAGGAGTTGGATTTCTGATCATCCCATCGGTTTCGCAAAAGGTGCGTTCCTGCAGGTGACAGGGCAAGGATCCCCAGGAGACGCAGAGAGTCCGATGGGCTGGTTTCTCAGTCGTCCGCAGATGTCCGGGAGCTTAGGGCGCGGAGGAAAAGTATATGAGATGAGGTCGAGTGATTTGGGTAAGTCGAGGTCCCAAGAGGGAGTTTTCCAACGGTTGGAGAGACCGGGGCGAGTCGTGGTTGTTAATCAAGGTTTGATTTGATCGGTCAAGGCAGGGACGATCTCCGCAATGTCCAGGAACCCGCGTCGACTGGCACTTTGCATTTAATATGTATAAATGTTGAAAGGCAAGCTTTCTGTGCTTCTGCTTATTTTTTTCTACCCGTGGGATAGACAGACACACTGAGCAACTGCGCCTTCTTTCGGTGACCTTCCAAATCACGGGCCGACGGGCAAGAGACCCCCCATTCGTGTTTTTATTTTTTCTTCAGCAGCGTAAGGAGGGTCGTATTAACTGGGGTTCGGCCTGGTCGATCGGCCCTATCAGCGGGGGTGTCCCATCCCTCACCGCTCCAGGGGGGAGGCCGAGAAGGTGTGCACCGCAACTTCAAGAGTCGCCAAGCGGTGCATGTGTTTGTTGCAAGTCTGGATGACGGTGCATGTTCGACTGCTTTGCATCGGCGTGATGGACTGAAGAAGAAACAAGCAAAACCAAGACTCCGTGAGGCCGAGGGGGGAAGAAAGCTTGCAGTTGCCAAGTGGTGGGATGCCGACTTAACGCAAGCTCTCTTCCTGACCAAAAAAAGGGCGGAGTGCCCAGCGGGGTTGAGATATCCCAAGATTACGCCCTAAAATGCGCAAAGGGCCCGCCTGACTCGACGTCAAGTGGGCATAGGCCAGTAACACGAGGTCGAAAGGCTCCCCAACGCAGCAGGTTTTGGCCGTTCCTTGCAGGCTTCACCCCCACGGCACGCGCAACCAGAATCATCATCCATCCCCGCATCGCTTCTTCAGTGACCATGTGTCCCCATCATCCGGAGCAGCTGTCACTGTCAGGGCCGCCGCCCAGGTCGCCGTCCATCTACCCACCACCACGGCTCAGGGGACGGACCGATTCCTGCGCATCACGGCCGGCATCGACGCCGAATGGCACGCCGGAGGCTGTCGTCTCCATGCCGCTTTCGACCTTTCATCCCGTCCCTTCGGCCAACCACGCCCACGTGGTTCGTCCGATGCGACATCAACACACATTCCGGGACGCGTCACACTGCTTCATGCCATCGGGCCGTTCACTTTCACATCGTGCACACCTGCATGTGCTGGGAGTTTAAAAGAGAGCAGGGTATTCATTTCCGTAGCGTAGAAAAGGCCAGCCGACCTTTTGACCTTTCTAAACCATCTCCAACGCGGAGTCTCCCCCGTCCACCTTTTATCCGATCAAGATGGCCCAATCGCTGCAGATTACCCCATTCCGCCAGCTCCTCATAGCGTCGTCAATTGCCTCCTAAATGCATCATCAGAAGCGACCCCTCATCCCGCCATGTTCGCGTTGCCGCCGTTGAACGGCATGCCGGTGCCGTCCGTTTCAGGAGACGACTGCCCGGGATAAATCTGCTGGAAACCAGCGTCGGTTCCCCAGTTGGCGTTCTGCGTGAACGACTCGAACGCATTCTGGCATTTGGTTAGCATGTGAAAGGATGACCGGTGCGGGGATCGAGGCTTACCCAGTCGAAGTTGGCGGGGAAATCTCCGCCTGCTTCAAGGTTCGTGAACATTGAGAGCGGAGATCCCACGCCATTCATGCCAAAATCCCCTCCTCCGGAATAACTCGGCGTCATTCCCGTGCCTGTCATCGGCAGCGCCACGCCGAAATCCATTCCACCAAACGTGTTCTGCGCCTGCATGGTGCTCTCAATGGCAGCTGCCGTGTTGGGCGTCATACCTCCAGAAAGCATGCCGAGGGTCATGGCAGCATTGTGCTCCGTCTGCATCTCGGGGCTGCTGTCGAAGCTCGAAAACTGTTCGCCCTTCATGGCGTCCGCCCCATCCGCCCCGGGATTGGGGTTCTTGATCTTCTCCAACATGATGTCGAGAACCTTCGTGGCCTTGAAGGCCTCCATTGAAGTATCCGCCAGCCCCTGCCAGATCCCCTTGGTAATCTCAAGGTTGCTGAGCATTTCCATTCTCTGCTCCGGTGTCCAGAACATGGCTGATTCGGATGCTCTTCGGTCGTTGCTCGTTTCTGCTACACGGTCGAAATGGAGGTCGAGAGCAACCAACATGGCAGAGAGCAAAAAGTCCTTGGTGGCAATCGAATTGACAAACCACCTCAGTGAACGAAGTCTGCCGTTCGCTTGTGATTCTCGGTCGAGCGTGACCAGATGCCGCAAAGTTTCCAAAGCGGCCTCCACCGCACTTCTGCGGGAGTAGGCATATCGTGGGTTCTGTCTGGCCCGAGGAACATACTTCTTGTGCAGAAGGCAGATGATCTTGAGGTACAGGACGTTGATGTTGTACCTCGCGATGATCAGAGTCACCGGGTCGTGTGAGCCTTCCAACGGTGCCACCTTCAGATGCGGCGGAAGCTCCTGGTCGATCTGCCGTAGGCGGGCGTCAAACCGCAGAATCTCGTCATACGGAACTTGCCTTCCCACGCGGTTGGTCGCCTGCAAAATGTCGCCCATCTCGATACAGAGCTTGGACTTGGCGATCATGTACGCAATCGGAGTCGGTTCCGTCTTGGGTCGCGATGGGGGCAAAACCTTAGTTTCGGGCCCGAACTCCTCATCAAAGATATTGTTTGGCATTTGCGTGTCGCAGTCATGGCCGTATATCATGGAAGGTAGGGAAACTTGGTGCGAGAAAACAACATCTGCCATTCTTACTAGAGCCCATGTTCGTCGCCGCATTTCCTGATGTTCGAGTTAGCTGGGTTCAAATAAGGGTCTTTAGGACAGAACATACAGCTTGAAATGGTGTTAAAGAGGGGAACCACTTTGCATCGCGGTGGTAGCCCATCCGGAAAGCGACCCTGGTGAGCAGCGATACGATCAACCAGAGCCCCAGATCGGCATCCCACCGGGATGAGTATTCCCCAAAGACGTAGAGAAGCATGGTCTCTACAGTATATTCAACCGGCTTCGTATAATCGGCGGCAATCAAGCATTGCACCGTGCGAAGGCGGTACTCGGACGCCAAATCCAACGTCCTCCCCTTCCACTCTGGCGGCTCGTCTCCTACTTTGTGATAACTGAGCATTGCCAAACACAGAATCGAGTACAAAAGTCCGAGCCACATGATGGGCGTTTTCGATGGATCTTGCCAGTGCGCTCGGAGTTGCTGCTGGAATGTCGGAGAATGAATAATATTCACCGCATTATCCATCGAATTGAAGTATCTTGAGCACAGCGTGAGAACTGCCGACTTGGGCGGTAACTCTGCACGTAGCTCGACCTCGCTTGCGGGCGCGGCTCCCAGCAAAAACGTCGGTCCTTCCCTGGCGCTGGCTGGCTTTGACATCATCACCTTCTCGTAGCTCTTTTCCAACTCCTTCTTATGGTTGGTGAAGTACGTCTTCACTTCCGATATGTCGGCCAGTATTGTATGCCAGTGCTCTTGGCCAATGTACATGGACTTGCCCTTGTCCGAGTCGACCTTCAATACTCCCAAAGATGTCGCCAACCCGCCGTCTGGATCACTGTCGTCGCCCTCGTCGTCGTCGTCGCGCATCGCTTCTTCGTCGTGGTCGATCTTTTGCGACGCAGGGGTGCTTTCCGTGGTCGACTTACTGTTTGAGCTGCTAGTTGCGGCGGCGGCAGCGGCTGCTGTTGCGGGATCAATAGAGGCGCCTCCATGCATCAAAGACAATACTAGGCCTTCTAAGCGGTCAATACGGTTCTGCATGTCATCAGGGCTTGAAGCGCCTTGACTTTGGTTCTTCTTGCGAGTGGCAGGAGTTGCGTAAGAACATGAAGCCGTATCGGCGCCCTCACGCTTCACGCAGTTACTGCATGGATGACTTCTGTCACACTTCCTACGACGGGTTAACACTGCACGACGGAATGAACTCGCGATAATCCTTACAGTCTACGATACGAGTTAGCCAAAGTGAACAAGAAACTCTTGAAACGAGGCTCGAGGCTTACTTTCTAGTCCTACAAGGGTAGCAGGAGAGAGGTACCCTATTCCTCTTCCTCACAACTCGAAACTGCTCCTCGGGTGAGCGACCCGATCCCGAGGAGGGCGTCGTAGACGGCGGTGTGGGAGTCATGATGATAATGCAGTCCGTGGATCAAAGCAGCGAGTGAAACGCGACTGGGTTGCGATATCCACGGATGAAGACTGTGTGTATGTGGACAGAAAGTGCCGTCCAGCTAGCACACGTGTGTGAAGCACAATGCCTCAGAATAGTGCAAGCGGCCGGCGTCGATCCTTATACAAAGTGTTCCTGGCCAACGACTGACTTGGTTGCCGTCAGATTTCCGAAAGTAGGGGACGAAGATAGCCACTGAAACGTTCACAGTGGCTAGACCTTCGGCAGCCTAGACCTGTAGGAGCGGTCGTGCAGATGCCGTGAGCTTCGAGGGGGGCAGGCGGAAGGGCAAGGCGCGTATGGCAGAAGCGTTCCGGCTGTCAGACCCCACTGTCTCAAGTAGTATGACGAAAGACGGGCCTATAATCGTGATGAGCGGCGACCGTCTTGCTTGGAAGCCTGCTGCCGCTTGTTGAGTATTCGCCTCTGGGTGTGAGCAAATATGGCGCAGCCTTGCTTCCAGATTTGGCTGCTGACACAGAAGCGGTTAGATGCGCCAATATGAGAGCGCACAGGGTCGCGATGAGCTCTGGCAGATGTGGACTCAGACCAACTCCTCGAGACTGCGTACCAGTAGAAGAAGGGGAACCGGATGTATTCCGCGCTGCGAAGGGTGTGGAGTAGGGTCGCAGGGAGGGATCTCTTTGGCCAACTCGGAGCGGGCGCAAAGAAGAACAGGCGCAGAGACGATTTCCCGCAGGTTTCCGCAGACGTCTGTGGCAAGTGTCGGGAAGCAGAAGCAATAGCGCAATGCAATCAGGACGTGGAGTGTGTAGCGGAGGTCGAGGTCTCGTAAGGTTACGATAAACTGGAAGGCGCCGTCAGCTTTTGGTGGTTTAGGGAATGGAAGGATCGCATTGGTCGACAACCGGAGACGCCCAAGCATGGAAGTCACAACTCACCGACGGGTCTGGTGGTGGTACTTTTTTTCGCCTTTGCCAATGTTAGATTAGGCGCGAAGGAAGTGAATGGAAACGCAGAGCGACCAAGCCACGGATTACTCAACGCTGTCGGAGGTGCCGTAAGACGAGAGAAGACGTGCAGCGCAGAGGTAGACGTCTCGGGAGGCAAAGGACGAGGGCGAAGGCGAGAGGTGAGGAATGGTAGGTATGGTGAGGTATGGAGGGGAAGAGGTGAAGTTGCTCTGCTATCGCTCCGCAGACGAAAAGATTCGATAGAATCATCGGATACAAGCATCAGCAAGTGGAAGCATCTGATCAGCGATGGGTGACAGGGGGGTCCGGTTCGCTGCGCCGTAAGGGCCCAAGGAGGTACGTAAGGGGGGTTGCTGAGGTGGGCGGAAGTTCTTTCTACAGAGGCAGAGCAGTTAGAGGTACCGCCACTTTGCTCATTTACACACTGCTCACCCGCTTCAAGTGGGAATTCAAGGTGCTGATCTGCGTCGATACGACCAGTGCTTTAGGCTCTTGGTAGGCCGCCCGTCTTACGCAGCAACGCGCCGTCGGCTGGTGCCTGCGCTGGCTACGCTACCATGATAGAAAAGGACGCTAAAATGCGACGCTGGTGGTGATCCAATGGTGGGGGATCGTGGCCCTGTATCCGTCCGTACTTACGAATACCGGCATAAATACAGACTCGCAAATACTGCGGATCGACTTGACGGGACACAGCACACGGGCAGCGAGCCGCCCCATGCTCTGCTCGGCCCCGGGGCATTCCCAGCTGGTGCCCCTCGTTGTTGGACAGCCCACCCACGGCAACTTGGCCATGAACCCTGAATTCTAGCGGCTATTGAGCCCTGTCTGGACCTGCGACGGACTTAATGGAGTTAAGAGTGGATCATCTGTCAGTCCAATATCAAGTTCAGTTTTCTCTTCGATTTGACGTCGCCCGTGTTAGAGATTCCAGAGGGGGGACCGTAGAGTCATGGGATATCGGACGAGCCCAGGCAGCCGGCAAGACAGGATGAAGAGGCTCGCAGCACCCTGCATATATGCTGGTGGTGGCGGTCGTGTGGGTGCCTGGTGGTTGTTGCCGCCGTATTTGCGTGCCGGTGTAATGTCGGTTCTGAATCCTTCCACTTACACGCATGGCACGCACCCCAGGGCCATCGAGACACACAAAAGGGCCTTCTGTGACCATCTGCGCCCCACGCGAATGACATGAGGGGATTCTGGAAAAATCATTAGACACAGCTCTCTCTCTCTCTCTCTCTCTCTCTCTCTCTCTCTCTCTCTCTCTCTCTCTTTCATTCGTTATCGCAAAGTCCTACATGTTGATCGAGATGGTGACGCGACTCAGCGTCTTCCCAAGTCGCAGTTCCAGTCCGCCCGTTCAGGGCAATATCCGGCGGTATCAGAGGCACCAAAGCAATGACGAAAGCGGGGTGGCTTGGAGGGCTCAAAGTCAAACAATCTCGTGCTAGCCATCCACACAGCACGAGGAGGCATGGCATGGCATGGCTGGCAGGGGCTCTGAAGTGTGAAAGGACGACAGATCCCCGCAAGGCCTAGCGCCCCGGTAAGAGCACCCGCAGGCCGGTGCGTCGTCGTTCCCTCCCGACGTACGGGATACGGTGGCAGGTGCAGCAACTGAAGGGCAAGGGGAACCGCAGCGAAATCCTGCCCCATTTGATGAATGACTTCCTCAGCGCTCCAATCAGCGCCCAGTTTCACCCACAGCAGCCGCACTCCAACTCCCTCTGCCACCACCACCACCACTAACACCATCCACGTTCAACTCGCAGCTTCAACATGCACCAAACATGACTGCAGCAACATCATGTCAGTGGCTGACCGAGACTACGACTACACGTCGCTTGCACTTGTTACACAATCAAACGGGCGCGCTTAGAACCGTCAAGAGAACAAACTCCTCTATGCCGATCAACTCGGTGGCTCCGTCACACCAATCACCCCGTCTCTCTCCCGACAAGGGTGCCATACTTTCATGCAACTTCTTTCGGTCGCTCTCCGTATGACTCACCTGTGGATGACACGGCAGCCTAGGCAAAACTATCATCACGGGTATCACAGTCAGTCTGGGATTACCTATTGAACCACTGGACTGAACTATTCCATACCGCCGAAACGAACCTCGTAAGCCGAAGTTGAGCTCTCTCTCTAAGTTCACTGCATTTGTAAGCACAAACCCCGAACACCTGAACCCCGTCTGGCGATGCATTTCAAAGCTACCAGCAACGACATCATCGTGCTCCCGCCAGAGCTGCGGTGTCACGCACACTTCACTCTGGGGAGTGGTCTGTCTGTCTGAATCCTCGCCACCGGCGCTTCTCCCTGTCCCATGGGGAAGCACTCCCGCCACCACAGTCCACCGGGTCGAACGGGTCTTTCCGACATGGATTCTTCCCTCAACCTCCGGTTGGACGACGCTTACCCAGTCGTTGAACAGATCCCAGAAGTCTATTCGGACCTCTCCAACTACTCCCTTGTAACCTCAAAGAGGATCTCCCACGCTCCGTCGCGGATGGTGGACGACCCTCCGACTGGCGACCAACCCCAAGGTGCACCTAGTCCCCTGGCAAACCACGCTACCGGCACCAAAGCCAGCGAATTCTGTCCTTTTTGTCAGCGCTAGGCCTTTAAAGTGCTCGGGTGTTACCGAATCGCAGAGCCAATTCCCCGGGCCTTGCCCACGCGCCTCTTAGGCGTTCCTCAGTGTGAAGCGCAGCTTTCGGCAGTCTTCAAATAGAGGCCATCGCCCGACAACATGAAAGGGTTGACCTTAATGTCCGGAAAACCTCCGCTCCAAGTGTCTATTGACGTGCGCCCGCAGCATGGCATTACAAAAGTCCCCCTAGTTGCAACGGCCGTACTAACATGTGCTGTTTGTGCGTTCGCATGAGCGTCCCTCGAGGTGTTCTGTGGCAGTTTAGATCTTACAACAGCGGTTCACCAAAGCACGCAACTAATATGAAAGGTCAAGCCAGAAACAAGTCTCGGCAGCTGGACGTGTTTTCACGCATGGACAGCACGCCATATGGTTCATCATGAAGTCTGTTGATCCGCTCACGTTGATTTCCTTCCCAGATGTATGGATCACTACGAGATAACAAGCCTCATGTGACAGTGCCTGATTCTCCAACTCGGTCCCGATCAGAGCAGTTCTCCCCGAGCATTTTGAGAGCCTTGCAGCTGTTATCACAGACAGGTCGTTTGAACCTGAATCCTATCAGTCTAAGCACCCTTGGCATCCTTGATGAAGGATCAGAAACGCACGGGGCGAACCAGCGTCAACAACTGAACAGCAGTTATTTGGAATCCTGTGTTTCCCCTTGGTGTGGTCCATTGGATTCTCTTTCGTAGGGCCGATGATGTAGATTGTTGGGCTCTCGTTCCTTTCACAAGCTTCGCTCAGCAGCGCGCCTACCAAATCCTCTGGTATTATGCCTTGGCCACATTGTTGAGAGCTGTTGAGCCACAAAACAAATGAATGAGGTGATGCTATCTTGATCATTTCTTGAATCCATAACTACAATCTATGTCTTCATCTACTCGTGCCTCATTCTCGTAACTCATTATTGCCCAAATTTGACAAACTCAAGGGGAAGACAAAAACAAACGCAACCAGCCCATTATGCAACAACGCCTCTAATGCCAGAGAAAAAGGAGAGAAGACCAAGAAAAACTCACACAATAAGGACACCTTCGCGAACAATCAAGCGCCCCTGATGTTGGCATACTGACTGCCGGGATAACTCAGCAAGTTCTGCGTCGAGTCCAGCGAGCCCATCCGTCCAGCGACGGCCGCGACGAGGCTGCCGTCCCCCTTCTTGTCGCCAGCAGCCTCCCAGAAGACCGCGCCGCCGAGGCTCTTGCTCTTCATGTAGTCCGTCTTGTAGTTCGCGCTCTGCACGTTGTCATACGACACGAGCTCGCGCGAGCTCGAGTCGTAGCTGTACAGCGCGCCGACCTTCTCGTCGAATATCTCCTTGGCGCCCGCGCGCGGGAGGGCGTTGTAGTGCCAGACGCCCTTCTCGATGGAGCCTGCGCCGACGCCGCTGTACGGCAGACCGATGCCGTCGGTGTTGAGGAACGAGCGGCCGTAGAGGGGCATGCCGAGGACGATCTTACTGGAGCGAATGCCCTGGGCGAGGTAGTACGTCAGGGCGACCTCGGTGCTGAACTTGGTCGCGAGCGGGGTGGACGGGTTGAAGAAGACGTTGGCCTGGTGGCCGGTCGTGGTGTCCCAGGAGCCGGCGTAGTCGTAGGCCATGAGGTGCCAGGCGTCGATGTAGGCGTCCATGCCGCGGAGGTCCATCTGCTGGTAGTGCGAGGGCCCCGCGGGGCATGCGACGGTGAGGACGAAGTGGTAACCGGGCGCGCTCTTGGCGGCGTAGGCGTCGAGGGCCTCGCGGCATGCCTTGAGCAGGGCGACGAAGTTGGCGGCCTCGGTGGAGGAGGCGGGGTACTCCCAGTCGATGTCGATGCCGTCGAAGCCCCAGTCGGCCATGAGCTTGACGGCGGAGGAGGCGAAGGTCTGGCGGCCGGCGGCGGTGGCGGCGACGGGGACGAACTTGGGGGACCAGGTCCAGCCTCCGATGGAGAGGACGACTTTCAGTTTGCGGTTCTTCTTCTTGAGAGCGTAGATTTGGCCGACGCAGCCGTTGGCGTTGCCCGCGGTGCTGGTGTCGCCGGGGTAGAGCTTCTGCGTGTCTGAATAGGGGTCGGATGAGATGCTGGGGCTTGTCAGTCTGGTCACGGGGGTTATGTGGGATGATGTTGGAACTTACACTGTACCGTCCGAGGAAATGTCGGCGAAGGAGTAGAGAAGATGGGTGACCTTGTCGGCGGGCAAATCTGATGGTTGATAGTTGGCGCCGTAGACGCCCCTGAACCGGTCAGCTTGGAAGTGAGTGAAAGTGGCAGTGAAAGGGAACGTACCAGTTTGTGAAGTACAAAACATTTCTGAAGCCTGACGCTGGTGATGTTCCTCCACTGCTACCGCCGCTGCTCGTCGGAGGACTAGAGCTTCCTGTGTTTGATGCTGGCGAGGAAGCTACCGGCGTTGGCTTTGAGGGTATTGTAGGCGGGCTTGAAGATACCGGCCTGTTCGATGGGACTGTTGGTGGACTCGAGGCATTTCCGCCACGCTGTGTTGTTCTGGTGACTACTGTAGACACTATCACGGTGTCTGGATTGCTACAGCCGGCCTGGGAAGGCGAACTGTTCATCATGGGCACAGCGCCCACGATGGTGAGGAGGAGAGGCAAGAGAAGAGTCGTTTTGATCATGATGGCAGATCAATGTCTTAAACAGGCTGGTGATGACAAGACAAAAAAGAAAAGAAAAAGGGAGATAACTGAAAGCTGCAGACAAAAGATATAGACTTATTGCGATGAGGCTCTTGAGTCCCCTGGGGGTTGGTGATGGGTGAGACGAGACTCATCGTGAGGAATGTGCCCCGTAAGTGGCACGCTTCACCAACCCCCGTATGAAGCTGCGGCCTGCCAAGGAATGGTGAGGCCTGTTCTGGCTCACCAATTCTCTCAAGCAAAGTGTTCAGAGATCCACGCGGTAATATGCAAGCCATCAATATTCTCAGGTAGCCCGGCCCAAGACATCGGTCTAGACTGTAACGCCTCGGCATCTTGAGGCTTCTCAAGGTTTGTGACATCCAGAACTACCTGACTTTGGTCAGAAAGATGAACCAGCAATTTCAGGCATACCTTCTGCTGTTCACTAGAACTGAGTCAGATGGGGCTCTTTCAATATTGTTCCCAGAATGAACATCGTCCAAAATAAAGAGTCGTGTTCTCTGGGGTGGTACTGTGTTCATCGGGTTAATTTCGAGGTCCAGAGAGTTGCCTCTGGCTGTGAGCGTGTGCCAGTGAACAGCACGGAAATGTACCTTGCCAATAACAGACATCAGGCTCCTTTCTGTGAGCTGGCCGGATCTCCAGGTCAGATGTCACCCAAGATAGACCCAAGATGGAAGAGAAGGGGTTGAGGTCGGGGTTGACAGATAGAATCCTTCAGTCCTCATGGTGGCGGTCGGTACCCACTTTTCCAGGTACTGGGACACCCTGAAGAATGAACCCTGCCACAGTGCCACAGCGGGAGCGCCCGGCGCACAGGCGACCTTGGACCCCAACTCGCTCCGCTGGCAGCTGCCATCCTGTTCCGGCACATTCAATCTCACCACCTTCTTGACCAGGTGATTTAGGTCAGCTGGTGTTGCAAAACGAGTCACCCTTTTGAATAGATCTGAAGAAACACGGCAAAGTTAACATGAAGGCAGACTATTGAGGGGACAGGAAGCTTGGAAGACTCAGCATGTGAGAGCTTCAAGTCCACTTACACAGCTCTACATGACCAAACTACAAGCGTATTTGCGCCACTCCCGGGCACGATATCTTAGCTGACAATGGCGCACATTGTCAACGCTGAAATTACTTCAATTCAACTCACACTGGTTGGTTGGTTTATGATTAATTTATTCTCAAAAGTTCCTTAATGTTGACTCAAATCTCTCAGGACAGAACATGGAATATTGAGACCAGGAGCAACTGAACAACCATCTCCATATTACAAAATAAAATTCGTCGACAAGTCGTGAAACATATCATGAACCGCCACTCACAACTTTCCATCAGTTTCTCTCTCCTTTCAGCTCATCTTTGGACGCAACACTCATCGCAGGTCTAGAACATGTCAGCAATGCCCCTGAACACTAACCGCTGAACTTACACTGCTTCCATCAACTCCTTGCCTTCAAGCCCAAGCGACGTCGAGCCCGCCGTCACAACCTCCCCCTCCACCCCATCGGCAGCTTTCCCCTCGAACCCCATCAACGCAGTAGGCATCAGAGCAAAGGCCCCAAGCAGCCCGACAGACGCGAGCCACGCCGTGCCGTCAGTCTCCCGGATCCAGTCCCCGTAGCCCTCCTCGTACAACACGAGCCCCAGCAGCGCCTCGGCCGCGAACATGAGGACAGCCGCCAGCCCGCCGAGGGCGAGCCTAAACCACGCCACGCGCGGGATCTCATAGACAACGACGACATAGCGGGCCCAGACGACCCCGACTATTGCCTGTAGCGGGACGAGCATAAGCTCCGCTTCTGACGTCGTGAGGTGCTGCTTGGACGCGGGTAGCAGCAGCTCTGGGTATTTGCAGATTACCCATGAAAGGAGCGCGCTCGTCGAGAAGGTGAGGAGGAAATAAGTCCAAGCGATGCGGACGATGAAGAACGCGAGCGCCACGTCCCAGAGTATCTCAATAACCGAGTCCGTTGTCTCGAACAGGTAATGGCCTGTCATATTGGTTCAATGTGTGCTCGCAATGTAAGTTTTGGTGTGATTGGTGATGTTAAGTTTATTGCTATCAGTATAATGCAGTCTCTAGGAACAGACGCTGTTCCCATTACATGTAGACATTCTTGCTCACGCAATTTATTTGCAATGCTCTTGTGATATGGCTGTGCTGAAGACGGCCAGATGTGTGGGGTGATCGTGGAGTGATGACCGGGGAGCTGCGGGATGATGCACCCCAAACGCACGAGGGAACCTTGTACGCGCATGCCGCGAGGGCGCAAAAGTTGCTAAGCAACAAGCAGGCAGCCTCTCATGCGGTTTTGCGCAGCCATAACTCGACATATGCGAGTTCGCGATGTATCTCGCAGGTCGTGGGTGGTGTTTGGGGGGTAGAGGGTACTGGGGGGATGAAGTGTATTTTGGGGGTATCGTGTCTCCGCGTAATGGGGCCTTCCTCTTGCGTTCCGCCTTCTAAACTAATAAACCAAAGGGATTCTTTCTTCTGATTCTAAATTCCCGTCTTCTCCAACTTCTTGGCCAGGTCGTCCACCTCCTTATCCTTGAGCTGGACGGTAGGCTGCTCCTGAGCCTCCTCGGCCTCCTTGACGAGGATCTCGGCCCTCTTCTCGGGCTCGAGCTCCTCCTCCTCATCCGACTCTTCTTCCTCCTCCTCGTCGGAATCCTCCTCTTCCAGGTCGCTGAGGCTGTCAAGACCCCATGCGTCCTCGTCGATAATGTCACCACCGAGCTTCTCCTTGCGCTCCTCGAGAAGCTCACGGATAGCGACGACGGAGGGATCTTCCTCTTCGAACTTGTTACCGTTCAGCTCAACCTTTTTCAGAGCAGGCAGAGAGTCGGTAGCGGCGCTGGCAATGCCCGTGAGAGCCTTGGCGGTAATGTCGTTGAACTGCAGACGGAGAATCTCGAGCTTGTCCTGGTTGCCCTTCGCAAGAGCCTTGGCAACGAGAGCGGTACCCTTGGCAGTCAGGTAGGCGTCGTTGAGGCCCAGCTCTTGCAGATGCGCCCAGTTGGGGAGAACGCTGGCGACGGCCTTGGCGCCGGAAAGGGTGAAGGTGTTATCCTGGAGATCGAGGATGCGCAGCTCGGTCGCGTGGTTCAGACCCTCGCTGATAAGATGGCTGATCCCCTCCTGACGGATGCCGTTTTGGACCATCTTAATCTCCTTGATCTTGTTGTGGAGGCTGAAGGCCTTGGCCCAGGCCTGCATACTGCCGTTCTCCAGACGGTTGCGACCGCAGATAACGGTCTCAAGGTCTGGGACCTCCTTGCCCTCCTTTCTAGCCGCCTCTTTCTTGGCGTGCAACTCAGAGAGCGCATCCGCGACCAGGATACCAGCATGGGGACCGAGACCATTATTGTTCAGGTAAAGGTGCTGGAGGGGCACGTGGGCAGCCAGGAAGGCAACGACGGGAGCCTGGGTGTTGATGCCGAAGGCATTGTCGTTAAGGTTAATCGTGTTGAGCTTGGGAAGGTTCAGGATGGAAGTCAGGAGGGAGGAGAGCGCCTCGGGAATCTCGCTCAGGAGACGTCCAGTGAAGATGTCGGAAAGGTCAGCGGACTGGGTTTGGGCTCGTCAGCATGCGCGGTTAGAAATAGCGGAGGACCGGTGAACTGACTTGGAGGTTCTTCTTGGTGGCCAAAACCTCTCCGAGAAGCTTGCAAGCGCCGACTCCCAAAGTGTTTCCAAGGAACTTGACTTCCTCCACATCGGTAGAGCGCAACTCGGCAATATGGGGCTCGAGGTCAGCAGCAGTGTCGAGCTTAAGACCCTTTCCCTCAAGGGAGAACACCTTGCGCGTGGTCGCCATGATTATTCGGTGCAAAGAGGAGTGTTTTGTAGTGCTAGGAGCAAGCAGGCAGCAAATGCGCAAAATGAGTGTCTGTCTGAGTTGTGATGGTGGGGGAGGGGCATAAACAGAATAATGAAGGATTTCGAGACCCCAATTTACAGGGGGTGTGCCTGGGCTGCGTCGTGGGTGCCTGGCAGCTGAGTGGCTGACACTGGCACGGGGATGTCTGCCACCTGGGCCACAGCTGGCAGAATCGCCCCGGAAATTCGCAGCTGGGAAGGACTGGACCCACTGGGTGAGCTCCGTGAGCCACGGTCGTCGCGATCCAGGTGCAGGCGCAAACACCATTAAGGTTGTCAGGAGCACCCTTTCGACTGACGTGACTTTTCTCCAGCAATTGCTTTGGTGCTGGGCTTTTTCTCATCTCTGCACGAGCATCTTTGTCTCTTGCTGCAAGTTTCAATTTCTCCAGCACAACTACAAGGAACGCAGTTCAACCGCTTCACCCTAAAATTAATCTCACGCGGCCATCACATACCAATTGGTACTGTTTTCTGCATCCTTCGAAAGAGCTTTTTTGGCATCAAACAGCACACAATGGCGCGCCATTCCACACCGCCCGAGTCGCCTCTTTCCTCCATGGATAACACGGACGCTTCCGACAACGAAGCTCACGACTATGAGGATGAATCTCTTCTCCGACCTTCGAAGCGACAGAGACTAGGAGCAACCTCAACGACATCCCCTGCGCCTGCACCAGTCCAGGAGCCCGAGCCCGAGCATGAGCCCGAAGCCGAGGCCGACCCTCTCGAGGGCCTGTCGGACGTCTCTTCGGATACATCAGGTGACATTCCCAGCTCGCCCATCAATGCTAGACTCGACGAAGAGGACTTCCAAGAGCAGGTCACTTTCTGCGCATGGGAAGGCTGCGACGCGGGTGACCTCGGCAACATGGACAAGTTGGTCGAGCATATCCACAACGACCATATTGAGAGTCGTCAGAAGAAGTATACCTGCGAATGGAATGGATGCAACAGAAAGAGCATGGCCCACGCAAGTGGCTACGCGTTGAAGGCACACATGCGCTCCCACACCAGGGAGAAGCCCTTCTACTGCTACCTCCCAGGTACGTTCATCTCGTCGAGTGCCATACAGACCATCAACTGACTTGACCACAGAATGCGATCGCTCGTTTACTAGATCCGATGCCCTGGCGAAGCACATGCGAACCGTCCACGAGACAGAAGCCCTTCGTCCCTCCGACCCTGTACCCAAGTCGATGCAGGCAGGTCCCACAGGCAAGGGCAAGCTCAAGATTATTCTCAAGACTCCCCAATCACATGCCGCTGGCCAGGATGATGCCATTGATGACGGCGCAGACGATGATGAGCTTTCGGCCGATCTGTTCACACCAATGACCGAGGAACTTGGCTTCACCAAGCAAGAGCTGGACATGCCTCTCGAAAGGCTCTACACGCTTTGCAGACATCAAGTCAAGTGGGCGCAAGAAGAAACAGCGAATCTTGCAGAAGAGGTCAAGTACTGGGAAGAGCAGTACAAGGACCAGTGGAGAGAGAAAGAGGTCCTGCTGTCCCAAGTTGTTCAGAGCGAGGTCGACTGGCACAAGCGCAAAGCGGCGGTACTTTCTGGGGCCGCAGATGTACAGCTTTCAGGAGTCATCGAGAGCCAGGAGACAGCTGCTACAAACGGCGATGGCGCGGAATCTCGTAAAGCATCACCGGCCGAAGAGACGCTGGCGAACGGAACCAAGTCCGAAGTCGCAGCAACCAGTTAGAACCACCAATGCACTTCAAAGAGTCACCTGGATGGCTCAGATGGGGGGTACGGAAGCAAAGGCGATGACGAGGATGGCGAGGCTCAAAATGAGAGCGTTGACGAGAGCGATGACAAGGATACGGGCAAGTTTCCAAGAACCCATCTGGACAAGGGCGAGCCGAAGGTTCCCTGTCGTTCTTGCGGAAAAGAGTACTCTCTCGGTTATCTGGCTGTGACACATCCACAAGTCTGCGAGGGACCCGTCACACCGAAGACCAAGAGATGGCGAATGTTCCTAGCCCCAAGGGCCTGCGATGGCTGCAGAAGATGGAAGATACGGTGCTCTTCCGCCCTCGACGCCGATGTTTGCACTCATTGTGTTAAGCGCGGTTGGGCTTGCAACATGGGTTTGACGCCTGATAGGCGCATTGACGGCCGCACGACAAGATATGAACACCCAAATACTCCGCCTTCCATTATCTCATAGATGTCTGCAAAGGTCTACGGAAGAATGATATGGCGGCTTCTGAGGTTCTGTAAGCACGAAGATGGGGATATGAAAATGCCTACGGTCAGTCGATAAGGAAACCAGACACGTGGGCCAGAGTGGTCTAATTTGATTTCGAAGTGGTTCCTCAAAGAACATAGAGAGCAACGTACATGCTCGTTGCACCTCTCTGAGTGGGGTTGGGTGTCTGCGGGAATGGGGCTTGCGGGCTAAGAAAGGGGCGTTTGGCGTATTGTACACTAGAGGAACCTTTTTTTGAGTGAACAAGCAGTAATTTGCTATCTGCACATGGTGCCTCTATGGCTGCCGTTGAAGGCAAAATCTAGGTGATGGGTCCCTTAGTTCGACATGAACTCACTACATCGAGCAAAGGTTATACATCAGGTCCAGGTATATGCGGTGCCCTAGATCTCTCATTTTCTCTACAGCGCGCCACATAGGAACGCTGTCATAAGACGCATGACTGTCCCTACAGGCCCTTCTTCTTCGACTTGTACGACTCGGCGTTCTTGAAAGGGAACGAGCTCGTGTCCTTGTCGTAACCCTTCTTGCTCCGGCGCGACTTGTCACCAGCGAACAGGAGGCAGTACAGCCCGAACACGGCAAAGACGGTGCTGCCCAGGCAACCCAGGACGAAGGCCGTCTGGTCAGATCTGAGGTACCGGCTGTAGCAGTAAAAGGCGGCAGAGGCGTGGTGAAGTGATGTGAGGACCACTGCGGCGTTGGCGTACGGTGATATCGTTCCTTGAGGTGCTGATTGTGTGTGAGCATCCCATTGAAGGGCTAGAAAACAAGAGGGACTGACTTTGATCTTCGGATGTCAGGGGAACTGCTCCCGAGAGACACACCACCAGGAGGCCCAGAGTGAGGAGAGCGAAGCCGAGGGATCGGGCAAAGTAGTCCTCGAGAGCTGGAGCATTTAGTTAACGGGGAGCTCTTGGCATAGGGATGGAGAAGGCTTGCAGGTAGCAGTGGCCTGGTAGTCATCAGGACGGAGGAGGTTTCCGATGAATCTCGGCCAGAAGATGAGGGGGATGGCCTGCATGGAGAGCCAGCCCAAGTTTCCGAAGCTATAGCTTGATACCGCCTTTGCAGGTCGTGATCAGCAGGTGTCTGTCACCTCGGAGGAGTTGTCACTTACGTCCATTGTGAATAGTGAGAAATCAGTGCTTCAAAGTGAGTGTGTTTAGGACAGTAGCAGCAAGTTCTTACAAATTACATGAAGCTCTCTTGAAGTTATCAGTTGAGGCGACTTCAGCTAACAACGTACGTATATACTTCCAGCGACGTCATTGGACTGGAGACCCGGCCCGGAAGGGACGCTGCGCGCGCGTCCCCCTCCCCCTGCCAGCCGGTCTCCCAGCTGGGCATGGGGCGAACACGTACAGGACCAGGCTCCCTGTCACCGCGTCGCACCGCCTGAAGAACCCCCCTTGTCACTCTCTGCCTCCCCAGGGTGCCTCATGCCGGCCGATGCCGCGGGGCTCAACTCCACTAAATTTTTCTTCCCAATCCGCCACCCACAGGGCCGATTTCGCATGCGGGCAATCCAGCGCTGTGACTGCACTGCACCCACTGTTAGATTCCCCTCCCCCAATCCAGTGGTGGGGGACGGATTTGCAATCACACACGCCGATTCTACCAGTCTCTGCTAATCACCTCCGCCCAATTGCGCATCTCCGGATTCGCTGAGGAATTAGCAAGACGTAAAGACAAAAGACAAGGGGCACCGACGACCCTCTTTGCATTAGCAAGCACATGACAAAAAGCGGCCTCACTCCCATCCTCTCTCTACATTGAATAGGCCTCCTCGTGCGTCACACTTCCAAACCAAAGAGAAAATCTACCCCGCGATCTCGACACAATCAACACCTCCTCTTCCACACGATCTCGAACCCGAAGCCGGCGCAATGAGCGCAATCCTCTCCGCAGACGACCTCAACGACTTCATCAGTCCGGGCGTCGCCTGCATCAAACCAATCGAAACCCTCCCCGCCGCGCCGCCCACCCCGCCCCAAGATGCGTCTCTCGAGCACGAAGTAATCCTCGACGGCCAGCCCGCCAACAACGGCTCTGCCGCCGCCGCGCCCGCCGAGATCTCCCTGACAGACTGCCTCGCCTGCTCCGGCTGCGTCACATCCGCCGAGGCCGTGCTCGTGAGCATGCAGTCGCACACCGAGGTCCTCAACACCCTCGACTTCGGCCCCGCGCTGCGCATCGTCGGCCCCGACGAGAGCGGCCAGTTCCGCGTCGACGGCCTCGAGGACGAGAGCAGGCGCCTCTTCGTCGCGAGCGTCTCGCCGCAGACCCGCGCCAGCCTGGCCGCCGCGGTTGGCGGCGGCGCCACCGAGAAGGAGGCCGGACACATGCTCGACGGGCTCCTCAGCGGGCCGGAGGGGCTCGCGCGCGGGGGCAAGTGGAATAACGGCTTCACATGGGTCGTGGACACCAACGTCGCGCGCGAGGCGTGTCTGGTCCTCAGCGCGGATGAGGTACTTGGTGGTGCCGGTGCTGAGAACGCTGCTGCGCCGACGTCTGCTCCGACGAAGCCGATCCTCACGTCCTCGTGCCCCGGATGGGTCTGCTATGCCGAGAAGACGCACCCCTACGTCCTCCCGCACCTATCGCGGGTGAAGTCGCCGCAGGCTTTGATGGGCACGCTACTCAAGACTACGCTGAGCAAGAAGCTCGGGATCCCGCCGAGCAGGATCTGGCACCTGGCTGTTATGCCGTGCTTTGACAAGAAGCTGGAGGCCAGTCGCGAGGAGCTCACGGACACGGTGTGGGCGGGAGACGGCAAACCAGGGCGCGGGGTTCGCGACGTCGACTGTGTCATCACTAGCAAGGAGGTTCTGATGCTCGCGGAATCAAGAGGCTTCAATTTCTTTGACCTCCCCCGGAGTAACCCTAACCTCCAACGCGCGACTTTCCCTGACGACCGCCTGGATAAGTTCCTTTTCCCGCGACGTGCGGCCCACCGCTCCTCTCAGGCGGCGGGCTCGTCAGGCGGTAACCTCTATTTCACTCTCCAAACGGTGGCTTCCAAGCACCCCAACTCCCAAATTCAAACAATCCGTGGACGAAATGCCGATGTTACTGAGTACATTGTCGCATCCTCCACAGGAGACCCGATTTTCAAGGCCGCCAGGTATTACGGCTTCCGTAATATCCAAAATCTGGTGCGCAAACTGAAGCCAGCGCGACCATCTCGTTTGCCTGGCGGCAAGGCATTCGGTGCCGCAAGGCGACCCAACGGCAAGCCTGCGGGCCTCGAGTATGCCTATGTCGAGGTGATGGCCTGCCCGGGCGGCTGCACCAACGGCGGTGGTCAGATCAAGGTTGACGATCCCATCATCGTCGAGCGCAAGGGCTTTGCGACCAAGCCCGGTCCGCTGGAGCAAAAGGACTTCCTTGCCGAGGTTGACGAAGCTTACTTTTCGGCCGAGGACTCAGACGGCGAAGAGGTCGTCTCTCAAAATGGTGAGAGCCGAGCAGATATTGTCGATGGAATTTCGCCTTCTTACGTTCGAGATACGCTGGCGCATTGGGCGGACATTACTGGCATAGACTTGGGTAGACTGGCGCTCACCACGTATCGCGAGGTGATTAGCGACGTAGGCAAGGACAAGACGACCGAGACGGAGCGCGTCATCCAGTTGGCGGGCAAGATTGGCGGAGGCTGGTAGATATGTCGTCTTAGCATAGTAATTCAACCTTCTCTGGTGCCTCTGTTGGCAAAGCCAAACCCTCCTCTTCCACTCCCATCCGGCCCGCGTGGTGATCTGATCGCTTGTCGCGGCTGGTCGTCGTCCCTAGGTGTCGACCGTCCAGACTGGTGACCAGAATCTCCTCCACGTTTCTGCAAAGAGACGCCTCCTCTGGGGGCGAAATTGGGGTCGTAGAGCTCGCGGCCGCTCTCGGATCGGCCCGCGTCAGGCCTACTGACGGGTCGTCTGTCTTCCTGCCTGCTCGAGTTTCCTCTGTGACCACCTCCACGGCCACGGCCCCTGCCGCGCTGGCTGCCCCTGCCACCATCGCCTGGCCCTCTAGGCGGCGTGACGGTCCCTGGGCTCGAGGCGCCAGAGGAAGGGTTTGACTCCCCAAAGATCTTTGCGCGGGCCTCCTCATATCGACGCTGCTTCTCCTCGAGTTCGCGCTGTTGCTTCGCCCTGATTTCTTCCGGCGTGAGCTGTGGCTTCTTCTCAGTTGCCTTGTCGTCGTCGTCATCGGCAAGGGAGAGCTGGGAGAGGCCGGTGACGGGGTCGCGCCGTGCGATCATTTGCGGTGCGGGCTTGCGGCTGAGGACCTTGACTTGGGGCTTGAAGCCAGTAGCTAGGGGGACGGAAGGCTGAGAGTCGATGAAGTGTAGGGGTGCTGGAGAGTCGCTGTTGGGTGGTGAGGGTTAGCTAGTTGTCTCGCAGGCATTGGGGGCGTGGAAGCGTAAGGGCTTCGTGGACTCGGGCTGCAACGGAGGGAAATATGGCCTGGACAGACGTACGCTTCTTCCCACAGCTTGCGATTCAACTCAGCGTGCCGGGCCAGGCGCTCTGCCTTGCTGAGCGGAACCTGAGGCTCAGATTGCTGCGGCTGGTCGTCGAGCCTGTCGGCTTGGGTCTCCCAGTCATCCTCCCATGCGTTGGAAGCAGCGCCCTTCTTGACCATCTTGGCGGTTCGTACGTTGGTGCCGTATAAATGTGATATGCCGTCGAAATGTCGCGAGCCGCCTTAGGAACAGAGGCTTGCAAGGTGGTCAGGGAGAGGAGAGAAGCTTGGGTAGACCGTGAGAAGGCAAATCGTATAATAACTAATGTGGCAGCATTGGTATATCCTCGAGGTTGAAGGTGGATGAGAAGGAAGACGTCAAGGTGTCTGACGTTTGATGTAGGGTCCGACGCGGAAAAAGGTGGGATGAAGTTGACGGGCACCCCTAGGCTCGGCGGTTCCTTGAACGGAGTCGTTATTTTTTTTCTTTGGGCTAACTTGACCGCGGAGATGGACCCAAGAGAAACTTGTGTGCACACAGCCAATTTGGCTTGGTGGGAAGTACCCACGAAGTTCCTCCTCCAGGGAACTGTGTGGAGGGGCAGTTGCAAGGGTGGGCGTCAGCAGGCGCCGCATCGGATCTTGGAAACACCCTGGAATGGTGGGGTTGCCCGGGCCCGTGTCTGGCTGTGTCTGTGTGACGAGAACGACGTCCCCCATCCCGCTCATCCGCAATGACTTTGGCAAGCTTACTTTGGACTGCATAAGCAGGGCGGAGACTCATATACCCCAACACGGCCTTGGAAAGTGTGATATAGTTATCAATACTTGTTCGACGGCCTTTTCTCTAAACTATTGTGCATTTATTCATCTGTCTCTTGAAGCTTCCTAGATCTCGGAAACAAAAAGGTCTGGGCATCCTCCTCTTGGCGCAGGACGATCGCCGAATCGGGCAGTGAGTGAGCGAGCACGGTAAAGTAAGCATGCCATTTAAACTCGTGGTAATCATATGTTGGCAATAGTCTAATGGATGGTTGCAAGAAAGGATTCCATCCATCGGGGTATCTACAACAAGGAACATGGCAGCCACCTCCGCGATCCAGACCCATGGGCCGGAGGCGGGAGGCAGCGCCGGGGACGAGAAGGCCGCCAACTGGAACAACAAGAAGTTCAGGGACGAGTGCGAGTCCGTCAAGGCTAAGCTCGTCGACCAGCGCTTCGATCCCAGTGAGTAGTAGCTTTCCTTGCGGGCGCTGACTCAATGCAGGAGATATGATGCCTGCGTTTGGCGCTCACGACTGAATGATGCTGACTTCTCATGGCAGAGCACTTCCCCGATCCTTTGCTCCCTAGAAAGACGCCTGATGTCCGGAACAACCCCAAGACGTCTTCGCCAGAGTTTGAGAGGAAGATTGACCAGATACTTGGAGAGCGCAGGGCACAGATTCTTTAACAGACACTAGGGGCGAGCTCACATCAACTTCACAACAAAGCAACATCTTTGGTTTCCAATCTTTGATTTCCATATCCTACACTATTTCGACCCACAACCCGTCTGGGCCGTGCCTGTGGCTTGTCGACGTCCAAATCAAAAGAGTGATTGACGGGGGAAAGTTTTTGGCCTATAAAGACAGACTGGTATCCTAAACACCTCTTTGCTCTCAAGGGTGTGCTTCTCAACGTCGTGCTCATAAACAATTTCCAAAAGGGTCTCCGGTCTGACCTGCAACTCCGTGGGTATCTCAAACGCCTTTCTTATGCCTCCATCTATACCAACTAGCGCCTAGGCGAACGCCAGTAAAACGAACAATCTCGATAACTCCATGTTATCCCAATAATTATCCTACAGCCCCTCGCAGCCTTCATGAAATGCCCGGCCCATTGATGCTAAGCCGGATCACTTGCGGTGGATGAAGACGATGCGGGGTGTGGGCTTCTAAACCCTGTTGACCTTCATGTAGGTGCCGTCGCTGAGCTTCTCCCAGCGGAAGGTCGCCGTGTGGAGGACGATCTTGGGTTTCTTGAGCACATCGGCCTTCTGGTAGATACCGTCGCTGACCTTGTTCCAGCGGAAGGTCTCGCCGTGGAGAATGATCTTGGGGTTGACGAGGAACTTGACGTCCTCGGAAGGGGGGGTGCACGGTGTCACCTGGGCGATGTCGTTGGTACCAGGGGTGGCTGTGGCCGTGGTCTCGTCCTCCAGCTTGGTGGTTGACAGCTCGTCGTCAGAGTCAGACACATCGGAGCTGGGAGGGGTGAATGGGAGGGCCCACTCCTCAAGGGCCTCAAGGTACCGAGAGCGGCGCTCGGCAAGAGTACGCTGGGCCTTGGTGGTTGACAGCTCGGAGTCAGAGACGTCGGAGCTGGGAGGGGTAGTTGTGAGGGTCTCGACGGCCTCACGTGCCTTAAGGTATCGAGAGCGGCGCTTGGCAATTTTGCGCTCGAGCTTGTTGGTATTCCAGGCCTTGGTAACGCGCTGGGGATTGGTGGCGCGCAGGGTCTTGTTGTCTATTGCGCTGTTGGCATGAATTGACTTTGAAACGGGATGTGGTTCCTGGTTCCTGAGCGTACCTTGTTTTTTGGAGCCCGACTTCGTGACGATGATCTTGGGGGTTTTACGGGCAACGGTCTCGTTGCTCAGCTTGGTAGGGCTGTCACCCAACTCGAGGTCCATGGGGTCATTGACGGCGGCCATGTTGGCCGAGGTGTTTGTAGCGGCCATCATGATATGTGTGGTTGTTTGGAGTGGTTGGGTGTGTAGTGATGATGTTGTAGTAGACTTGGTTGGGTATGCAGTGTAGTTGTGCGTTCAAAAGGAGATGGTTGTCTGTTCCTGAACTGTGCCTGCGGATGTATCCAATTGGGTTTTTGTGAGGGATAGAAAGGATGAATTGACTCCTCGGTTCCTGGATTGATCGTGCTATTAAATAGGTATGTTCCTGACTGGAAAATTGTTATGCTTGCGTTTCTGAGATTCCTCTGGCATCAAGGTGGTGTTGAGAACCTATAGATGTCCTTCAAAAGGGTGCATATAACCAGCGATTGACCGAACTCAGTTCGACTGATTCACCGAAATATGTGTCACCTGGTAACTGGACTTTTCAACTTGTGAGTAGAATTCAGACGAGAGGCAGTTGATGTAAAGGTATTGGACTGAATGTGAATGGATGGTCAAGAGGTGGAAGGGCGCAACCTCGGTCGTCCGCTCTGCGACATTCACTGGTACTGTCCCAATCGCGACCTCCCGCGCCCAAACAAAGACTTTGTGATTGATCACCGCACCTTTGATCCTACACAAGGTGCTTGTCTCTAATGATAGTTTGGTATTATTACTGCAGCCTACACCTCTTTGAGTCTCAGACGAGGATTCCATTCAAGTTTCTACCCAAAGTGGCCGTTGAAACAAAGGAGCCGAAACCAAACGTCTTTCCTCAGGCTTCGATGGTCGCCTTTCTTCGTAGGTTTTCTACCACGGAGAAAGGTAGCGTGGCTATGTAGTTCCTCGAGTCACATAGTCGTGTTGTGTTTGGCGGCCTTGACCCAAATCCAAGTTGACTCTTAGTATTGAAGTCGAAAGACCGAGTAGTATAACGCGGATCTGGACGGTGTAGTACGTTTTCAAAACACAAAGTTTCAAAGACCATGGCAGCCGGTTTTACACAAGTTCAATTGTTGCGTTTCATTTACATTTCCATGGGCGGCTCTCCCCTCACTGCGCGGCTGTAGATATGTCCCAGGAACTTCTACCTGTAACCCACGACTCCAATAGTCAACATGTTTCCGAATGATAATCAACAAGAGCTCATAGAACACAACACAGAAATGGATCTATGTCGATAGAATGTGGGACATCCGGTTGGCCGACGCAGCGACTGGCGTGACCAACTCCCACTGAAGTTGCCAGACTCGACTGCATGACAGCCAAAGGCTTGGATTCACCAAGTCCAATTTAATTCAATAAGACACCGCCGGCGTGATTCACAATTAACAAATGGGACATTGCTGAATGTGACCTACCAGAGCCAGCCCCGGGTACGTCTTCAACTGACCTGTCAAATCATCGAGTCGGCACGTTCTGCAGACCCGAGGCAGGGCCGAGCTCGGGATTCGTCGCTGAATGCCAAGATATCCCTTTCTGGCAGGTTCGTCTATATCGTGTTTGAGGGATGATGGCAATGGAGCTACCCCTCATCGGCAGAATGCGGATGGATCGACGCTGGTATTGCGTCTAGGTGCATAGCTTCACAAGCAAGCTGGGGTACCATCCATTGGAGCTTGCCATTCCCCCCAGAGTCCAACAGGTAATCTTGCGGTGCCATGTTTGAACCTTGCGTTCTGGGCATGAAGCTTTGTCAAACTTGTCCCCAGCAAAGTGTTTTCCCCGCTTGAGATTGATTCATTTCTACTCATGTGAGAGAGGGGGAGCTCGAGACGCACGAAGGGTCGTACGAGAACAAACGAAGGTTCTTCGGCATGTGGTATCCGAGGAGGGGGAGGGTAGGAGTGGAAGCTGAGAGGAACTCGGTTCGAAGATTGGACAGTAACCTTCTTCTTGTCAACGGAGGCAGCGCGGGATTGGAGAGTTGCAGATCCGGCGGGTCGGGTCGAGGATTCTTCGGACGAGGATTGCTCGGGGTTGGGGTTGCGAAACATTGACGAGAGACGCGCACTCTTGCGCAGCGAGGTGTGTGTGGTGTGTGGACAGAAGAAACTTTGGGTGTACAGGAGCTGTACAGAAACTGTACAGTAGCACAAGGGGAGCTGCGGTTCGTGCAGTTGTACCTGGCATTGACCAATAAGTATCGGTGACTCACTGCAGAATTGCTGCATTGAGCGGTCTTGTTGGGAACATGTCAACCATGTGCCTCGGGGAGACCAAAACCTTCATGCCTTGGAGACGTCGGTCGCCATTGGACGTTGACATGAAGTTACCCTGACGCTACGTGGGCGCATCGCGAATAGTGATTGATGATGACCTTGGCCAGGTTCCATGTTTCTTGTGGACTGCTACGTTAGTCGAGCTTGTGGTGTTCGAGCCCGGTTGGAACCATGGCAATACACTATTCGTGGTGTGCACGTTGAGTCTAATGACTCGTTGACGCAAAACCGCCATGTCTCGAACGCTGGGCTACGTCGGATCGGATGGGGACAGAGTTGGGAGGCCCCCGTGTTGAGTGGGAGGACGAGGGACGTGGAGAGAGCGGTTGACGTAGGGGATTCCACCAGTTACGTAGCGGCGGGACGGCTGCTCCACAGCAGATGAACGGCGGGGGAGGATTGTCGCTTATTGCACGCTGGCTTCGATCTTGCGCCGTGCGTGGGGGAAACGGCGGAGTTGCAAGTTGGCAACGTCTCTGAATCATGGCGCGGGCATCTTGGTATGCTACGTCAAGCTGCGGTTCGCAGGGCCTCCCAAGTAAGCACGAGGTTGCAATCGTTGTGTCGGTACTGATACTTCCATCAGATAGCGGCCCGCAGACAGATCGCTGCAGAGACCAGACTCGCAAGTTGGGGTATCTAATCAACCCACGTCGCACGACCTTGCGCAGTTACAAGCTGCTGCTCAGCCATACCGCTAGAGGTGGTTGTGTCCGTGTAAAGCCGGACAAGTACGGGGGAAAGAGGCACAGAAGCAGCACAACGTAAGCGCTTGTTCCCGGACTGGCGTGCATCCGTTGAATCTGCAAGTGCTGAGTTGCTTTGCTACATTCGTTGGGGCTGCGCTCTTCGTGTATCCTGATCTAACCTGAACTTCGTCTCTTTGGGGCAAAATAGTTATTCAGCTTGAGAATCCTTTTCTTACCTCAGCTGCAGGCCGTGATATGGCGAAGCCGGTCAATTGGTAACCTGTAAAAAGGATTGTGTGGTATTGCAGGCATGCCGGCCGGCCGAGTAAGAACATGAACCCCGGATCTTGAAAGTTGATAGGGTAGACTATGTAGCCAATATCGCAGGGGCGCGCTTTCTTTCAAAAGCAAGCTCGTTACCACGAGCAAGGGAGGCAAAATCAGACCGAATTTGGACACGCGAGAACCAAGAGCGGGAACACGGCCAATGGTGTCTGATAGTCGCAGAGCTGAGCGCAGGTGCAGCTCGTACTCGCCTGGATGTTGCTGGCTGATGTCGATTTTTGCATTGATGGAGGCAGTAAAAACAGGGGTCGAGTACAATTGGCGGGGGCCGTCCCGAGACATTCCAGATCCTGACAATGATTTGCGGCGTATTCTTAGCCAGAACGCAGCAGATGGACTTGGTATTTCAGGTCGAGAAGGCAGCTGCGGAAAAGACTTGGGGGCGGACGGGAGGGCAGGCTGGTGCAGAGATTGCAGAACCGCCTCTTGGCTCGGCAAAGGCAATCATTTGCTGCAGGCGAGTGTGAGAAAAGCAACGGCATGAAGTGTCTCGATGTCCAGAGACGTAAGGAATCCTGTTGGTGGCAGCCAATGCCTCGTTCCAAGTTGATGTTGGTTTCTCATTTTGGTTGTCGGCTTGACTCATCCACCTTGTCAACCGAATCGACCGCCAACCCACCCCCGCGGTTTTCGCCCATGTCGACGGACGGATACCCTAGGAAAGGAATGTCCCGCTGGCGGGGTCGGTATCCCGAGAGGATCCTATCAATCGGCGGTTTCGGAGGGGAGCCGTAGCATGGCCCCCACACGACTAGGTAACCGGAGGATATCGATGATTTCCCAAGGTCCTTTTCGATGTAGTGCAAGCTGAATGGAAAGCAATGACGAAGACTCTTTCAGCTCGGGGCTGTACGTAAAATATTGGCCAGTCGGTTGCGGCTTAAAGCTCGCTCAAACAGGGCTGCGGTGGTAATTCATTGCTTCGACGGCGTGTTCGGTCCGTTCTAGAAAGTCATCTGGAACATTGGGACTCTGAACTGAAGTAAGCCTAGCCGGACTGGGACGCGGCAGAAGACCAGACCTGGGACATTTCGACTGACTGACTTAGCTTGGGACACGAGATACTTTGGCTTGGCGAAGGCACCGGTTGCGAGAGGTCGAAAAAGGAGTACCTGGGTACGCGACCATGTGTCATGGCTGCTTGGGTGGGCATGAGCTACTACCGCGTTATGCTCGCGAAGAGGAGACGAAAGGCGGGGGACGCAACGGGAGAGGAGAGGAGGGAAGTAGAGGAACAAACGGGGCGAGTCTGGTTGATGCGGGTTGACGCGGGATGAGAGGAGGGAACGGGCAGAGAAAATCAATCATGAGTGGCAACAATTGCAATTAGCAACATGGATCTATTGCTTCTCCGACTGCTATCAGGGACGGCAACGGGATGCAGTTATCAAAATGGAAGCTGCGTATTGATAACCACCTGAAAGTCGGGTAAAGGTAGGTGTAACTGGGGAAAAGGCCAGAGCAGCCCAGACCTGACCATCGACTTGCCGTTGATTTGTGGAATGCAGTCCGGGCAGGCTGTTGAGGCTGTTGAGATGGAAGGGGCATTGAAAGGCACAGGCAGGCAGGTACTCTCCATCCCCCCCTTCCCGTCTTGCCGTCAACCTCGGAGTGCTGAGCAAGGCATGCCGGGCTGACGGCACTGGACAGGGCTAAAGGCATCTGGCGCACAGGGCGGCTCCGCTGGTGCAGTGTGCAGTGTGCTGGAAGTGGAAGGAAAGGCAACCCAATTGTGGAGTTCCATATCTTTGGCCGCCGGCCGCTCTTTCCATGTCGATTCAGG